GCCGTCATTGTTGTTTGGCGGGTCCGGGCTGGGGATTCGAACCCGCCACCTTAGGTGTACGTGGCTGGCGCCTTAGCTGGTTGAGCTATAGGCGCCGAGCCAGAGTCTTCAAGTCTTTACAAGAAAGATGTTTCTTTTCCCATAAGAACTACAAAGAGATAACCATCAATGGGCCAGGGAGAAGCCATGCCCTCTTAGCCACCAGTTAACCTCCCTCAGTATAGCATCTGCTGTGAGCAGCAGCTCTTCCATATATCTCTGGGAAAACTGGAAAGCTGGGCCCACCTGTAGCCACAGAGAATTTTTTCCCTAGGATGGGCAAAAGCTGGTTCCAAAGGTTAGGAATAGCCAATAGGTCTCAGGATACATCCAGGCCCACAGTAAGCTCCCTGACCTTGTGCCTTTAGGGAGCAGGCCCAGCAGGAATGGGGACCACAGACCCAAATGCAAGAAATTTATTTCCCAAACATGAGGACAAGGGGGAATAGGGCCTACCTGGGAGACAGGAGAAACAGTTGGCAGGATGCCCTCTTGGTCACCTCCTCATGTTGTCTGACTTACCTGAGTATGAGTAGTTAACTCCAAGTTGATCTGGCACTCCTTACTGGGGCCCAGCAGGCCACGTCTGGGAAAGACTGTCACTGTGCACAAGTTTGCTTGGTGCCCCAGGAGCTAGCAGACACATGGGTGGGGCTTTTGTCACTCACTGGGCTCCCGGAATACACTAGCATCCAAAATGAGTGCTTAGCACCACTGCACAAAACAATGGAGGCTGGCCGGCAGCAGGAACCACAGGGCTGGGTGCTTACTTTTGGGATAAACTGTATGTCCCTTCTCTCTTTCTGATTCCAGATGGATTTCACCACCTGTCTTGGGTTGCCTGGACTAAAGAAGCTGCCCTGGAAGGACCAGAGTGACGGAAGAAGAGGGCAGTCACCTCTGATGCACACAGACATGGCCTTATCTTCTACAGCACTCATAGCAAGCTCCATAGTCAACCACAGGTGCAGTGCCACAGCTGGGCTCTCAACAGCACATGGGCCAGTCATGGGTTCTGCTGGCTCTGAGAATCTAGCTGTGTTCACCAAAAATTTCTAATCAGGTAGGGCATAACGATTCCTTAAAGGTGGGACAAGAAAAAGCTGGGCCAGATGTGACACCCCTTTGAGAAGGCTTTCTAGGCACTGTGGAGTAAGGGACAGGCTGTGGGAGGGAAGCTAAGAATCTTTTCTTGGGGGTTCTGGAGGGATAGTGCCCCCTCTACAGGGCCCTCTGCTGCTGAGGGCTGCAGACCTGCTAGCAATAGTTTGGGCTCACTCACCTTGCCCCAGTGGAACCGGGTGGGCAGAAGTGTGCCATTGATGAGTGTGACGCTTGCCTTTGTGGGTACACCCAGGTAGAGGTTGCTGACTTTCACCTGGCTGCTTTGTAGGTACACATGGGGCTTCTGTATCTCAGCATAGACAGGAAGGTAGCTGGAACACAAGGAAATAAAAGGCATAATGCTCAGAGAAGAGGAAATAAAATTGTGCATATTTATAGAAGAACAGGATGGTCTGTGCAGAAAATCCCAAGGCATCTGCATTTTTAAAAATTCCCAGAACTAATGAGTGGCTTCAGAGAAGCTCTGTGAAGGGTATAACATCAACATACAAAAACCAATCACATTTTCATACACTAACAATAAATGGGTGGAAACAGAAATTTAAAATATCATTTACTCCAAAAATTGAAATACTTAAGTATAAGAGAAATTGTTGTGAAGATACTCTGTGCTTATTTCTTTTTTTTTTTTTTTTTTTTT